AAATATGTGAACAGCTTATTTTCATCTATTGCACTCTGCTGCTTTTATACCAGCTCTTTGCCCAGACTGCATTTTTATGATTGAGAAACATTTTATAAAAACCAGCAGACTCTTTAAGTGTATAAACATGACTGCTATTGCTATAATATTGGAAATTCTGAAACACATCCAGGAGTAACTAGATCAGCATGGCCAGTGATGTCAGGCATTTTATATAGGGCTTTGGAAAAAATTATAGAATCACTTGCTGTAAGCATGTGTTGGCCATAATGTTTTTTTAATTTTGTGTAGCCAATGGGTAGTTTAAAACAAAATAAAAAAACCACCCTACATTGCACTGGCTGGGCAAGAAAGCAGAGAGGACACGTTGCATCTTGTAACCTGGACTACAAATAGCCCTGACAGGAAAGGGCAGAGGAAATAAATTTGGCAACGCTATGCATGGATCTCCAGCAAGCACCGTAAAAGGTGTTGAGCTACTTCATATTATTTAATAGTACCAGATTAGACATCAGGTCAAGCTGTTAAATTTAGGACCCTGAATTATCTCGGTGCTCCAAAGATCCCGTCATGGCTTTTTGGGAAGCTGGTGGGTAAAGTGCCTCATGTCGGGTGCCTGGGCGGCAGGAGGGGAGGCTGGGGGCGCAGGCGAGTGTGTCCCCAACCAGGCCAGCTCCGTCCATCCCAGCCCTGCGCCAGGAGGCTTTCGATGCCATCAGCCTGATGGATTTTTGTGTGTTGCTGGACCATGTCCCCCCAGGAAAGCCCTCTGGAGCAGCTGGTGCCATGCTCCGTGTGCGGGGGCCATTGCTAGCCCTCTGACCACCCATGAAAGGTGCCTGGCAGGACCTGGCTGCTGTGGGGGCCCTGTGGAGCTGCTCGGGGCCGTTTGCCTTTGCGTTTTGGGGAAGTGACCGAAGTCACCGCCATTGCTTGGAGTTCCTTTTTGTGTTTATGCTACTGTCAGCGTTCTCTTGAATATTTGCCATTGACAAACTAGAGCGTTGTAAACATTTCTGCTAATCCCCAGGGAACCGGGGCCACCGCCGCCTGCATGGGCGCTCCCGTGGAG